TTTTTTTTTTTTTCCCGCAAATGGCAACTGGACCCTGCCTACAAGAGTTGGGGATAAGAAGACGTAGGGTCTCGCTGCACTACTCTCTACTCTCCACTATCAGGAAATTCGGATAGTAGGCGGAGAGTTGGTTGTCAAACTCGCTGAAATAGGATTTTTTCAATCACGCTGCACTTACGATCCACTCTCCTACTCTCCGATTCCTGAGTCCACTAGCAAACATCGTGACAGCAGATGAAGACACGGCATCATCCCCGTTTGGTCCGCCCAGACTCCAGGCACACTCTCCAAATTTGAGGTCCTACGGTGAGTTAGGGCGTCGTTAGACACTCCTCGGGGACGTGAAATCCACAAGGACGTGCTAGTTCCACCTGTCCTTGGGGACGGAATTGAAAAAGAAATGTGAAAACCCTTGTGGCCCCAGCCAAAATTTCCTTATCCCCAGGGACCTCGCGAGGTCCCTTGGAGATCAAGGAACCGCGATTCACGGAGTGGCAAAGACATGCTTCGATGAAGAGTTTCGGTTCTTGGGTGGTCCAGGTGTGGTCCGATGGTGTTAGTACGGACATCCCCGCCCTCCAACGTCTGCGTAGTCCCCCAACGGCCTGCCAACGGTTACCGTTGGCGATGGGCCTCCATCTGGTGGCGTCGTCGTTTTCGACCGGCGTCATGCGGTCTCCCATGCTCGAGGAACATCCGCAATGGTCGTGACCGACCTGTACCGCAGACTCCTGCTACTCTTCGCTGCTGCGCTGCTTCTGGTGGTCCCCATGCTGCTCCCTCTGCTGCTCTCCAGACGTGGCATTGCTGCCCTGTCCACCGTGTCGTTCATGGCCGACCTCTGCCACAGGCTCCTTCTGTTGCTCCTCATCGCTGTGCTGCTTTTGGTGGTCCGGTGTGCTGCTTCTCGCATTGCCGAAGGTCTTCCCACGCCCCGCACATCCTGCGTTTCATCCACCACCTCGGCGTCGCTCGCAGAATGTCGCCGCAACCCAACGCATAACACAGCTGAACCACAGCCTCCGAAGTCGCTACGTATTCAGGGCAGTCATGTGCAGCTTGCATCAGCATCCTTCTCCTTCGTGCGCGGAGCTGTGCCTTCATTTGTCCCAACGCCCTCTCCTGCTGACAACGAAGGACAACGGCAGACACGGCTGCTGCCACGACCGTCCTCTCCAGCGGAGTCAACAGCACACGCTCGACCTCTCCGCCACCCTCCATCACCAACACTTCCACATGAATGACGTGTCTCCACTGCTGTGAGGATGGTCGCCCCCACGACACTTCCGCAAAGCTGCTCCCTTTGGGTTGGCGTCGCTCTCCTCGGAAAACTGTGCTGAACGAAAGTGGCATGTGTCGATGGCGATGGGAGCTACCACTGTGCGCACGTGCACACAGCGCTGCGTTTCTCGGGGAGGGACGCTGCCAAAAAGCCGGTTTCGCCCGTGCCCCGTCCTCGCGCCACCTGCCGATACTCGTCACCGCAGCCGCACTTCAAATTTCGAATTTCCAACATGGAGGTCCCCTACTTTTTATTCTGTTTTTCGTTGCCTGGCCCTGCCTTCTCCCGCCAGGCGCCGCTGGACCACGCCGTCTCCACACGGACACGGGACGCTGGACCATGGACACTCCCCCCCGCTGCCGCACATAATCGTATGAAAACTACCGCGGGCAGGCCACAAGGAAACGTCCTCGGTGGTCGTCCCCAAGGATATGTGGAACGGGGCAGAAAAATTTCCTTAAGAGCTACAAGGAAACTTCCTTCCTTGTAGCTCGAGGAAATCGTAAGGAGTGTCTAACGATGCCCTTACTCAAAGGTCTATCTGCGTACTAGCGAATTTTGCAGGCTGGGCACTCTTCGCCCACAGAGAGTGCTTTTCTACGGTGGTTTCTGACAGGTATTGGAATCAGATAGTTAGTGAAGCCATGAAAAATTCTCTGAAATCGGAGAGTGGAGAGTAGTGCAGTGAAACCCATAGCTAGATTTCCAATGGGTCCGATGCCTTAGGGATTTAACACACCCTGCTAACGAATGCATACAAGCTATATTTCCGGTCGGGTGCAACCAAAATGTTGGTGCGTTGTGTTCGGGGGGGAAGACCGTAGGCAGCAAACATACACTAATTATAGGGACACAAGTCCTGTCTTGACAGACGCGTTGCCTGAAGGCACAGATTCATGTCTCCAAAGAAACGTGCGTCGAGTCTCCACTTACCTGCACTTGGGGATAAGGATCCGTCAATCCTTATAATCCATGGTCCAGGGAAAAAAAAAAAAAAAAAGCACCTGATACTAGTAAAAAAAGTGGGCCCCCTCACCCCCCTCCCGAAAAAAAATGATCCGATGGGGAATCAGAACAAAGAATTAGAACCGAAAAAAAAAAAAAAAAAAAAAAAAAAAAAAAAAAAAAAAAAAAAAAAAAAAAAAAAAAAAAAAAAGAGAAACATAGAAGGGGAAATCTTGGCAAGGGAGATCTCACCCCCCAAGATAGAAAACAAAAAAGATCTCGGCTTCCATATCCAGGGAGGGAAAAAGACAAAACCGAGGCTCCTGGAAGGGAAACAAAAAAAGACCCAGCCAACCTATACATGTAGGGAACCCATGGCCTTCGTTACACGGCCACTGAAAAGCATGGCAAACGAAAATTTGTGCAGCCTCACCAATAACCCAAAAGTCGCGGATGGGTTATGTTTTCGGGCTCCTCGTCACACAGGTCGCACAAATCGCACAAATGAGCTCTTTTCGGAGTGCTCATGAATTCAGTCGCTGGGTTTGGGCAAGCTCGGATGCTATGGGCCTCGCTTCAGTACTCTCAACATGCACAAAAGACAAAAATCATGGCAGTGCATCTTACCATATTCTAGCCGAAGATTCACTCTCGTTTTGCACATTTCGAGAGTAGTGCAGCGAGGCCCTATATCCTGTGTGGACTTGTTTGGATAGATACGTGAATGTCCGGGGGCCAAGTCCCACTTACCCGAAATCTCAATTTCCGACCATAGATTAGGAAGATCGACGGCCAAGAATGAAAGATCAGCGTAAGTGGGACTTGGCCCCGGGTACTCGGAAGGCAGGCTGGAGGGCTCGCGTAAAACCCCATCCTGCAAATGTTTTCCCCTGAGTTCTGTGAGGGCATACTCACGCCGGGACCTAAAGTTGCGAATATTTGTGACGTTTGGTTCCACGTATTTGTGCCTTTGGGTGCCCAGGTGCCTTAGGGATATAACGCACGGAGAGTAGCAGCCCTTTTTGTTTTTAGCAGCCCTGACACTTGCACCTCACAGGAACTGCTCCTAGTCACACTCCCTCAAGTATATGAAGGCTGAAGAAACCTTTTTTTATTTTTTATTTTTTTTGGGTCTAATACTGAAATGAGAGGCAGGGATGGTCTTTTTTTTCTTTTTTTTCCGAGGAAAAATTCCATATGCATATAGCCGGGAAACGGGCCCGGTGTCCATTAAACGGGCTAAGCAAGGCACTCCCGGCCAAACCTATCCTCACCACAGCCTCGCAAGATTACGAAACCGATGATCCCAATCCCAACCCTAAAACAAAATCCGTGTTCCCTAATTTAACAAAAGTCAAATCCTAATCTACCCCCTCTCCAAACCACCATTATCAAACAACCCTAAGCTCCACCAACCAAGGTTACAAAACCAATGATCCCACTCCCAACCCTAAAACAGAATTCGTGTTCCCTAATTTAAACCACCAGTACTTGGCCCAGCTGTCAAATCTGACCGGTAGGCGGATCCGTGCCAAGGCTAGGACTACCGGGCGTTCAATTCCCGGAGCTGCTGTTGAAAGAAACGCAAAGAAAGGAGAAAAAAGAAAAGAAAGAAAAGAAAAAGAAAATACGAGAACATTAATCTGCTCCGGACACAGGAACAGATCAGCAGGACTTCCCCTTAGCTAAAGGAGGCACAAAAGAAAAAATCAGGGGCCTGGCAGACTGGCTTCTGGACAATCTGCGCCCGCAACACCAACACCTCCCCACATCCTGGTGGGACGATGCATACGTACACCTGTTCACCATGTTGGACAGTAGCGACACCCTAAAGCAGGCCTTAGAGCAAGGGCTACCCCCGGGCACGAATTGGCAGGGAACCCTGCACCGGGTGTGGCACATTGTGCAGGGGCAACTCCTCCCCCCTCCACAACAGAACAACCAAGAGCCCCCCCCCCTGGGGGACAGGCCCACAAGGAAAAGGACCAAGCACGCGGCGAGGAGCAAGAGCAAACTGACCTGGGTAACACAGAGATGCCCCAACACGAGCCCACATCCCAGGTACCCCCTGAAGGAGATAAGGACGACCAGGAGCCATCCCGCAGGTCAAAACTGCGCCACCTAATGGAAAAGGGACGCCATGAGGCAGCACTAAGCGAAGATAGTAAGACCCTGGTGCTCCCAATCAGAAAAAAAGCGGGGAAATGGGAACAGGGGCTCTCCCCAGCTGTGGCACAATGGGTAGATTTGGAGATATCAAGATTTGGGAGCTCCGCAAGTGCCGAATTCATGGCCAATAACTCATCAGTGAGTGGAATACCACCCATCGCACATGCAAGGCTGGCATCGCCGTTTGCACTATGCTCACTTGCTGGGGTGTGTGAAACCTCTTTATCCTCCATGTCGTCCGCACAGGGGGGGACAACAGTGTCGACTGTCAATGCAAATAGTGCGGTGCAAACCACATTTGTCCCATCAGCCTATGAAAGGACTCTATCGGTCGTCCCGTCAACCTCCCTGCGAACGACACCGCTGGGAGGGGGCATAAACCCTCGATCGTTCAGAACAGTGGGTGGCGGTGCGAACCGCATCTCAACGGTGCCAGCTGTCAATGCAGGTGGTGCCGCACCTGTCCCATCGACCTCTGAAAGGACTATTTATTATCCCGTCAACCTCCCTGCGAACACTGTTGGGAGGGGGCATAGACCCTCGATCGTCCATAACAGCGGGGTTACCTCATCCCCAAGATCAGTATCCGGCCTCCCGTTTCCCGCCTCCTCAAATGCATCCGCTGATGTCTGAGTATACACCCGCGGACCGGTGTCCTCCAAAGTCTACGCCCCCTCAATCGTGGATGCCACTGTCGTCCGGAGAATTGTCGGTTCACCTTGCGGGCGAGCAACAGCGGCATCAGTATCGATGAGCTCCTCATTTGCGTTGTCGCTCATGGAGTCCTCAAACACGACGACCTTCTCATTGCCGAGGACACAGGGTTGTGTGATGGCGAAACCCCTAGCTTGACGTCTACACACGTGAGAGGCGATGGTGTCCATCTCCTTCAGTCCCCGTCTTCGGCGCTTCACGACAACACCATGACCCGATCGTGGAGCACTGTTGCCATCACGGTCGTCGTTTCCTCCCCACCTCCATCATCCCGTGCATCGCGGTCAATGTCCATGGCAATGCTGCCACCTGGGGGTGGCGACCGGTGTGCACCCTTTCCATCGCCAGGCCTATCAGTGTGGGCAGATGGTGAACGATGTGCACCCTCTTCAACGCCATCCCTATCATCGTGGGCGGGCGGCGACCACTGTATACCCTCTCCATTGCCATCAGGCCCATCATCATTATCGCGGTCGGGGGGCGAACGGTGTGCTCCCTCCGCATCGTCGTCCCTCGCAACTGGCATCGTCATCACTGGAAAAGCTCGTACAAGAAGTCATCCTTCTCCTAGCGACGACGGGCTTTGCGGACGACCTCGTTTGCATGTGATCGACAAGTGGTTCCTCGTCGACCACCTCGTCCACGGCCTCCACGCCCTCCACCTCCACGACCACCACCCTTGCATCTCCTCCTGTCCAACTCCGCCAATGGCTACCATGCGAGAAATGTTGTGCATCCTATCCTTCGCATGCAACATGTCCCCGTCGTGAACCCGACCAGCGTCCCACTGCCTGTGACGAGTTGCTGGTCGACTGGCAACTCCTCCTCCACATGCTGCCAATAGTGCACCCGCTTCTCATACACATCGGGCCTCTCAGCTAGGGTGTCGTCAGACAATGATGGTTTGTCCAAGAGTCGGAGGTTCCAGTGGCGCCTCACGAGCTCTCAACCCACACAACCTCCAACCTGTTGCGTGACTTGGAGTGAATGGAACTCCAACGAGACCACGCCCTCTCGCACGGTGATGCGGTCGACCAAATGAGAATGATCATGTACGCGAAGTAAGCAGTATGTGGAAACCTAACTTGTTTGTTGACAAAAACTTGGCTGCTTTAGTGAAGCTCGCATGGGCTCGCTGCATCTTGGCCTCGTCGAAAGGGGGTTTCCTCGTGTGGAACTTATCGATCCCAGTGAGGACCTCTTTGTGCTGCTGTGATCCCTCCGGGTAGCCAAACTGAACCAAGGCGGTGATCAGTCCCTGCTGCATCTGTGTGTCGTCGACCAGCGTGGAGTCTCTGAACTCGGGATCCAACATCATGGCAACTGTGTGAGCGAGGGTCCTGAACATGGTCCGCCGTCTGTCGAACACCTCCTGCACAACGTCCTGCTGCTCCCAATCAATGTCAACGCAGGCAAATAAACAAGCGACGATCATATAGTTGTAATGAAGCAAAATCTTTCTAATCTGCCTTGTGTCGCTGTCTACGATCTGCAACATGTTCATGATGGGATCCAACAACTTGCACAACGCTCGCAAATCCTCCCATCACGGAGATGACCCAACACATGCAGTGACCTCTGCCGCGTCGTTCCGAATCTTCGTGGTCGATCAAACTGTGTAGCGCCAATGACCGTCCACCGCTACCTTCATGAGCTCGGATTCCAAGTCTAGAAGCCTCCTGATCATGATCACATTCGTTCCGAAGCGGGTTTCTGTTGGCAACAACAGAGTCTTCGTTGTGAATAACTTCAAAACCTCTCGGGCATGGCTATGGCGCTTGAAGAACCTTGTCACCATCGTCGCTTGCGCGATGCGGGTGACCATTCAATCAATTCCTTTAATGTCCTCAATGATGAAGTCCATCATGTGTGCAGTGCAAGGAATCCAAGAGATGTGTTTGACAATCTCATCCTTCTGGAAGACGTCCATTACCGCAACGTTGACCCATGCGGAGTCTGTGACGAAAGCAGTGATATCGCTCAATTTAACGTTTATGGACTGTACCCTCTTCAACCATGCCTTCGCCAAGGTAGTGACATCCTTCTTCTGTGCATAAGATCTGTAGCGACATACGTTACCCCTTTGTCTGTCCCGACAAGGTAGTTGCACAACGTGTGACCACGGATGTTGGTCCATCCGTCTGTCATGATCGTGCTACCACTATCTATCGATGAATCGAGGACGGGCTTAATGCACTTTTAGACCCTAGCATCAAGCTCGTCCAAAAGAATTGTTCGAAGCATGTGATATGAGGGAACTTTGGGAGTGGGTGCCCCCAGAACGACATGTGGAATGATGAGCGTGAACATCCGTTTGAAACTTTCAAGCTTTACGCAGTTAAACGTCACGACAATGAACTGCATGATCTGCAAGTGTCATGCATGTTCATCTGGGTTTGAGTAGTAATACGTGACGACTTGTTGCCTATAGGTGCTTCCGCCTCGTCCTGGTGTGGCCCGGCTGCCAAGGATCCCAACATCTAACAATCCACTCGAAGTCTTGGGTGCCGCACTCTGGGCGACTAGAAGATCGCGCAATCGGTATAAAGGATCTAATGATCCGGAGACACAAACCGCAAGGGTCGGAGAAGCGTTAGTCACTGGAGTCGAGGTGGGCAAGGAATCGGACACAGGAATGGGGACCTCGACACCAGCACCCGCAGGAAGTGCCTCGTCACCATCTCCGGGAGCAGAAGCAGGTTGACGGATATCATGCATTTCACGCAAAGGCTCGGACCATGTAGTAGGTTGCCGAAGGGCATTGGTTGCGTCAACTTGAACTCTCGATGGCGGCAGTGGCAACCAAACGTAATCGGATGACGTGCGATGACCTGTGGGAGGCACCACCGCTGAAGCACCACGTGTCTCATGTGAAGCCATGGCAGCAGTAAGCAGAGGGGCCAAGCTAGCCGATGTATCCGCGTTCTTCCTCAAATTGGCCACCCTCTACTAAAGCACGTGTTTTGCCCTCGTCAAACTCCTGAGGTGGAAGTGTTTGTGGCACCCCTTGCTTTACCGGTTGGGGTTGATGCGCTGACACAGACCGACCCACTCTTGTAGGTATTGACCCCGTGCGACCAATGCCCACAAGTCAAGAAGGCGCAAGTGGTGGCCGAAGCAGTGTCAACGACAACGTTGTCGCGCGGGGTGGAATCAGGGCTCGAACATCAACGATTGACGACACCACCTTCGGGGGGGCCACACCACTCCCATGCGATGGCGGGGGTGGGACAGAGTCCTCGGGATATCGAAGCAGCGCCCACTAAAAGTTAGGATAGTCGGGTTTCAATACCTGCAAAATCTCGATCGTGAAAACAAAGTCCTTCAGACACTTCGACCTGTCCCTAGCCCAAATGGCATGCCAAACCACAGGAATGTCCGCCTCGCAACGAAACTTCTTGCTTTTTGAAAAATGCTCCTTAGCAGTTTTAGCGCTTCCGCAAATTGATCGGCCACACAACCTGCATAAACAGTGTCGGTCGCTCCTCCTCCCTAATGTTGTGGACGCATCCAGATAGCGGCCACGTGCAATGAAATTGCATATAGGGTCATCCTGTGTCCTGTCGATTATAGGATCGGCCTTGAATGGTGAGTTGAACGTCTTCGTGTTGTGTCCCATTTTGGTGCCACGTGGCCGAAGAATGCTTCATAGGAGCCTTGCCCTGTTGGCGTGACATAATGCTACCCGCGGCCCTAGCGGACGTGAAGTATGTATGACAAACGCATCAGTGGCAAAGAGATGAAGCGAGTCAAACGAGAAATGTGGAATCACCCTGAAGAAACTGGATCATGGACACAACGACAAACAAGACAAGGAAAAAAAGAACATAAACAAACGATAAAAAGAAAAAAAACACCAAGATTCAATACACGCGCTCTTTCCTTGTTTTGTTTTTTTTCGCCCTCAATTCATTACGCCGTTTACCGCATTTCTCGTTGCCTTGATGGAAGTTGACGCCCTTAACACTGTACCCACAATTCACCCTTTCACCCGCCAAAACCCAACACACACCCATACAAAGATAGGAGTCCTTTTTTTTTTTTTTTTTTTTGTAAGCACTTTGGTTTCCGGCTTAGGGGCCTTACAGGTCATAGTACACCATATTACCGCACCAACACTTTACCCCTTCCCCCCAGGAAGGGTCAACAAACCCATTACGACCTTAGTAGGCTAGTAGGCTAGCCCTTTGTTTTCGTGTTTTTTTTTTTTCCTCACTTCATTAGGCAGTTTACCGCATTTGCACCCCTTCACACTTCATCCATAATGCAGCCCTTCCCCCACCCAAAGTGCACATAAGCCTATAAAAACATAGGAGCCCTTGGTTGTTTTTTTTTTTCCCTTTTTTCGAAGAGTTGGGTCACACCATGGCGAAAAAATTATCTTTAGGACTTATGAGTCTTAGTGCATGTAGTACCGCATCAACACTTCACCCCTTCCCCCCCCAAGGGCCCACAAACCCATTACAAACTTAGGAGCCTTTTTTTTTTTTTTTTCGCCCTCAATTCATTAGACTGTTTATCGCATTTCTAGTTGCATTGCGCCCGCCCAAAGGCAATACACACCCATAAAAAGATAGGAGCCCTTAGTTTTTTTTTTTTTTTTTTATAAGCACTTTGGTTTACTGTTTCCCCCTTTCGCATTCGTTAGGGGTCTTATGACCCATAGAGCCATAGTAGACCATAGTGACCATACTACTGCACCAACACTTCACCCCTTCCCCCCACCAAGGGCCAACAAACCCATTACGAACGTAGTAGCCCTTTTTTTTTTTTTTTTTTTTTTGCCCTCACTTCGTTAGGCCGTTTACCGCATTTGCACCCCTTCACATTTCACACATGATGCACCCCTTCCCCCACCCAAAACCCACATAAACCCATAAAAACATACGTCATTTACCACATTTGTAGTTGCCTTGACACCGCACCCTTAATTCACCCCTCCCCCACCCTCCCCCCTCCTCCCCCCTACACAGCCCACATAAACCCCAAAAAAAGTTAGGAGCCCTGTTTTTTTTTTTTTTTTTCAAGTACTTCGGTTCCCCTTTCCCATTTTTGCATTCGTTAGGGGCCTTAGGGCCTACAGTACCCCATACTAGTAAGCATGCTACCCCACCAACACTTCACCCCTTACCTCCCCAAGGGCCCACAAACCCGCTAGGAACTTAGGAAGTTAGGAACCCTCTTTTTTTTTTTTTTTCTTCACCTCATTTCATTAGGCCGTTCACCGCATTTGTAGTTGCCCTGACACCGCACTCATAATTCACTCCTTCCCCCCCCCCTTCTCAAAGCCCACATAAACCCAAACAAAAGATATGAGTCCTTAGTTTTTTTTTTTTTTCAGGTACTTGGGTTTCCCGTTTTCCGCTTTTGCATTCATTAGGAGCCTTCGGGCCCATAGAACCCCATACTAGTACCCATACTACCCCACTAACACTTGTCCGCTTAGTACCCTTACCCCTCTCCTCCCCTCCCCAAGGGCCCACAAACCCGTTAGGAACTTAGGAAGTTAGGAGCCCTTTGTTTTGTTTTTTTTCACCCTCACTTCATTACACCGTTTACCGCATTTGTAGTTGCCCTGATACTGTACCCATATTTCACCCCTTCTCCCCCCCCCTCTCAAAGTCCACGTAAACCCCCAAAAAAGATACGAACCCTTGATTGTTTTTTTTTTTTTTTTTTCAAGTACTTGGGTTTTCTGTTTCCCACGTTTGCATTCGTTTAGGGGCCCTAGGGCCCATACTGCCACCCCCCCCCCCAACGGCCCACAAACCCATTACGAACATAGGAGCCCTTTGTTTTTATTTTTTTCACTCTCACTTCATTACGCCGTTTACCGCATTTTTAGTCGTGTTACGCCCCTACTCACAATCTTAAACCACCAGTACTTGGCCCATACATCGGCCGCGGGCCCTTAGCATTAACACTACGCGTTTCCCGCGCCTCGGCAAAGGCTTGGCATGGCAATGGGGGAGGGAGATGGTGGCCCCATGGAAACGGGGCAAAAGGACTGCACGATGTCCTGGTGGTGTGCTATCTGGAAACGCGCGAACAGTGGTAGCAAGGAGGCAAAAAAACAAGAAAGAAAACAGACGAGGAAAAACTAAAGATAGATGGTTGCTTTCCTTTTTTTTTTTTTTTTTTTTTGAAAAACAACCCAAGGGAATGCTTGGGGAGCTGGTAGGAGCAGACTCCTCTAGCATGCTCGGGGAGGCTCCATCTATTGGTGGGGAGCAACACCTGCTGGAAAACGGGTCCAGCGTCCCAGAAGCATGAAAACTCCATATTTCATATAAAGCATGCCACGTGTCCGCCCTACTGTAACCATGAAAAATCAATGCACTGACACATAAGCACACAGTATTTAGCCTAATCAGCTACTCCAAAACCCTCAACGTACAACAACAGCGTGCAGCTCCATGCGAGGGAGGGACAATCGGACTAGGGAAACAAGTGCTAAAAAAAACGACGTCATGCCTGCATGCCACGTGGCCGCCCCAGTAGGAATGCAAAATTTCAGAAGCAGGCACATATTTCTAACTAGGGAACAACTCCTCATCACCTACTCTGAAACTCTCAACGTGTAACAAGAGCGTGCAACCCCGTGAGAGGTGGGACAATCAGAGTAGGAAAACTAGCACCAAAAAAAGGAGGTCATACATGCATGCCACGTGGCCGTCCCACCGGGAATGCTAAATTCCAGCCGAGCAGCAACGCAGGCGCACGTTTATAGGTGGTGAGCAGCTTCGATCACCCTCAATAGAAAGAATTAACTGCCCAGCACATCATAAAAACCCCATCCCTGCTCCGAAATACTCGTCAAACAGGCTGCACCATGAGCCAAGGGACATCGTAGGAAAACACAAAAACAAAGTGGCCACGGGTGAGTACCCAGAGGAGTTTTCAAACGAACCTTAACGCCAATCACCCCATCCTCCAACCCCGTCCACGTGGCAACCAATCAGAATAGGAGAAGTAGCACCAAGAAACGAAGTCATACATGCATGCCACGTGGCCATCCCAATAGGAATCCAAGATTCCAGCTGAGCAGCAACGCAGGCGCACATTTATAGCCGGTGAGCAACTTCGATCACCCTCAATAGAGGGGATCGACCGCCCACCACATCATGGAATTGCTCCGAAGCACCCATCTATCCTACTGCACCATGAGAAACAGAGGCATTCAGAGCACATATCCTAAGAAAACCAAAACAGGATAGGCACGGGCAGCACCTCCTATACTGCCGCCATATGGCAAAGCCCAGCGAATCACCACGTGGGTACCAGTCACTATCCTATCCCCTCACGCACCCTCCTCACCCGTTCCCCCCCCCCCCCCCCCCCCCCCCCCCCAACCCTTCCAAGATGCTAAACAAAGCATGCAAACAGGCCTCTCACCCCCCCCCTCTATCGCCAACACAATTGTAAAAAAGGAGGGACAGGGCGGGAGAGACAGGGGGGGGGGAGAAAAAGGAAACCCCAAACTCACTTACCCTCCCATTACTCTGGCGGCCACCATCATCCTCGTTTGCAGCCATCCTATTACCGTTGTTGTTGATGTTGTTGTTGTTGTTGTTGTTGCCAGTGACGGTGTTATTGTTGTTGTCGTTGTTGGCGGGAGCAACAGCAGCATCGTTGTCAGTGTCGATGATATAAGGTTGATCCAAGCAGTTATCCCCCTCCGGACCCAGTGCTGCCGAGAGATCTTGCCCCTCCACAAAGATCTCGTCCGCAGACGTTGGGAGTGGGGGAGCCGGCCCCCCATCAGTCTCCTCCCAAACTCCCAGTGCAGCAGAGCAGCACCCATCCACTGCCAAATTTGCAATGGCGATCGCAGCCAGCTGTTGTGCCGTGATTTGTTGAAGGTCTTCCAAGTGCAGAAAACACCCTTGCAAAGCACTTGTCACCGGCTCCTCCTGAAGAGTACCCGGCACTGAGGAAGCGATCTGTTGCAGCACGTCGCGCCATTCCAGGATGGTGTCGTCAACCTCCCGCAGTATCATCAGCGGCAGTTTACCCTCGGCTTGCAGGACGGCCTCGATTGCCTCGCCTATCTGTTGTTTATACACGTCAACCATGTCCGCCGGTGATACCATGTCCCCCGATAAAAGGGACGAGGCAGGGTCCGTCGATGGTACAGGCTCCATGACAAACGGCCGTATGTCGCTCCGCGAGATTAAACTTTTCCACGCCACACACCGCGCTCACAACCCTAGTAGCACCCCTCCCCCGTCAGACACACCCTTCTCAACGGGCACTACGTTGAGCGCCACGTGGCGCACACATGGTCCGACGTGAAGGCCACGTCAGCCTTGCCGACGCGTCGCGCAGAGAGCAGGCTGAGCCCTGCCATTCTTTTTTTTTGGGGGGGGGGAAGAATGTATCTGGCTTCACTTCTGCACGGCGTTATATGAATCTACAGATGCTGGTTTCCCGTTTCCCCCTTCTCGATTTTTTTATTTTTTTTTTGGTAATCAGATCGTTGGCTGGTTCTGCACTTGCTCCCCGTGAGAGATGGGGAGCATTCAATGCCTCAGGTCCCAGAGGCAGTGTGACGTTTTAACTTCGACGCATGTATCTGGCTTCACTGCTGCACGTCGTTGTATGAATCTCAGGCCAATCACGTTCAGATGCATGTTTCCCGTTTCCCCCTTTTCGGTTTTTTTTTTTTTTTTTTGATAATAAGATAGTTGGCTGTTTCTGCACTTGCTCCCCGTGAGAGACGGGGAGCATTCATTGCCTCAGGTCCCAGAGGCAGTGTAACGTTGCAACCCAGAGGCAGTGTAACGTTGCAACTTCGACGCATGTATCTGGCTTCACTGCTGCACGGCGTTCACGTTTCTCTCGTTTTTTTTTTTTGGCTTTTTTTTTCCGAAGAAGATCCTTCACGGGAGCATTGAATGCGTGAGTGGAAACAAGAAAACGACGGCCTGTTTACGTTCCATCTGCTGGCAGCAGGTCTAAAGGAAGGGCCAGTACCTGCTTGCAGCAGCAGATGTCCCGTATTTTTTCCCACTCCCTGCAGGCTCGGCAAAAATTGGCACGCAGGGCATATTCAAGCTCGGCTTCAATAGCTGGGCCAAGTACTGGTGGTTTAAAATATTTAGCCTCCCATTCAAAACGGGCATGACCTCCAGTTCTCGACCGTTGAGGTGAGTTCAATGTAATTGTGCTTAAATAGGTTTGTATGCTTTGTTTGTTTGTTTGTTTCAATTTTTTTTTTTTTTCATAACCCATTTGTGACTTTTTCAAACTTTTGTTGCTTTTTTCAAACTATGTCCACAAAACTGGACTCACAATTTCACCACCCAAAAAACAATAGCACAGAGAAAAAAAAAAGTCCCAGACGCAGTTCCACCACAAACGACCGATTTGTGACTCTGTGTGTGTGTGTTTCAGCATGCAAAGAACAATAGCAAAAAAAAAAAAAAAAAAAAAACAGAGTCTTAGACGCAAGTCTACAACAAAAGATCGGTCTGTGACTCTGTGTATGTGTGTGTGTGTGTGGTGCAGGTTCGGGGTGAGGTTGAACGCGGGGTGCCAGATTCGGGGCGCGTTCGGGGTGCGGGAAACTGCGTTGTGGGTGAATTGTGGTGGGGTAGGGTTGCGGCAGCGGGCCAGGGGTTTCGTGGCGGGGCC